TTTGAAATACACACTTTTCTGTTTTGGCATAAAATCCTTCATTTTTTAGTTTTTGTAATGCACAATTAATATAAACTTTACAATTTTTGTGCCCTTAGATTAGATTAAAATATTAGTTAAATAATAGATAAGAAAATCATCTAGAATCTCTTAAAAAACATCATTCATTAGATGTTGAAAAGTAACTAGTGTATTTGTAAGTCAAAAAATATAACATTATATTCAAAATGTCCATATCTAATTTAAAACATAATCTTTTATTTATCTCATTTTTTAATATATACTAGAGTATATACTCTTTGTGGATCTATTTTTATATAGATTTTGACTTGATTTAATTAATTAAATTTTTTGATATCTAAGATAGAAGATACCTATTTTTTATAGTAATCTTATTAAATCTTTGATAATCTACAAACATCTATAAAGATTCATTTTTTTTCTTTATAAAAAAGATAGAAGCTCTAATTAAAATTTTTGAATAGAATATGAAATTTTTAGCTAGATTTTCATCAATGTATTCCTTAAATTCAACCAACTAATTTAAAGATAAAGTATAGATTGGTTCAAATAGAAGTTGAGCTCCATCTTGAAGATTAATTAAGCAATCGTAAAGAAAGGACAATGCTTCAAAAGAATATCTGCATTCTTTTTTTAAAATAAATCTTAGTAATCTTGATACTAGTTTAGAATGCTACTTGAAGTCTTTCTACCATTAGAAACAAGTGTAGTATAAATAATACAAGGTGATTCTTATTTTATAATATACAAAAAAGTTCTTGCACCTACATATAAGATATTGGTTGGACTAGATTTATTACTTTTTATGACTTTAAAACTCTCAATTATACTCTAAAAAAAATCAAGATTATAAAAAAATAATTTATATAAGGATTATATTTTTTTAGCCATGATAAATCTAAAGTAAATAGAATAGATAGAGATTTAATAATATTAAATATCACAAAGCTATTATAACCATTTAATGTTATTTTTATAAGAAAGATTTCATAGATGATTTGTCAAAAAGTTAACAAATGACCACCTATGACTTCTATATATATTGGTTTAATTTCTTTTTTGTTGAATAAATGCTATATATTTTAAATAACTTTTTATCTATAATACAAATTGATACTTTTGAATTTGGTAAGATAAAGGCTTTGTGATGTTTAGATCCTAAAAATATATATATTTTAAAACAAGGAGAGAATGTTGAAGAAAAAATAGGACCTTTACTAGATATTAGATAAGATTCTAGTTGTACAATTTTTATTGTAGTTGGATAAACTTGTTTTCAAACACATAGTCTTTTTTGATAACCATAATTTTTTATTGTAGATGCATTATTTTTTTAGGAAATGTTGAACAATATATTTACGTTTTCCATAGTACAAGAAAAATTCTTCTTAATCACAACAAAAAAAAAATAGTTAATAAGAAGTTTAAAATATATAGTGTCAAATTGCATGTCTTTAGCTTCTAAAATGTATGTGTTAAGAAGGTGTTGGTATTGCCATTGAATTATAAAAACGTTGTGGTTCACTTGTAAAAATTTTAAATTAAAATTCAAATATTTAATTATTATATTTTATAATAAAGTCAATTAATTGATTAAATATTTGAAGATTTGGTAAGTTTAGCATTAATTTTTTTATCTCATATTTTAATCTATAAGAAAATGAAGTAATGAGTGCAACATCATTTTAATTAATATTGGTCACAATTTGTGAAAAATATGAAGTATATAATATTTTTGATTAATTGTCTTATCAAAAAATGCAAATTTTATTGATTGTAATATAAATTATATTATTTTTTATATATAGATTAAAATATTGCCAAAAAAAGCCTTCAAATTATCTAATATTGAATCATATTATTTAAAAAAAGATAAAAATTAAGATAGAGTAAAATCTGGAAGTAGTATTCTAATAAACTTGACTTATGATTCTAAAATTAGATAGCTTTAGAATTGAAATTAAATCAACAATTATACTTAGTTGATGAATCTGTAAAATTCTAAAATTATACCATTAAATTTCTCAAGCAAAGCAACTATTGGTTCTCTTATACTTGAAGGATGTTTTACCATAAGAAAAATAATTTGATTTGGTGTAGATTTTGAAGCACCTCCAATCATCTCTACATCTTTAATTCTTATTAATCTTGTTGCTCCTTAAGGTAGTAAATTAAATTGATGCATTGCAAGTATTAACTTTATCAATTGTTCTTATATTTGTGCCATTGTATTTTTTATTTTTACAAACTTTTCCATGATAATATAATAAAAAATAAAAAGATGTCTGATATTATTGAAAACAAATAAAAAAATGACTTGAGAATAAAGAAAATTCTAAGAACAATATAAGTTTAGAAATAGGTAATCCGCAAATTTTAATATGCTTATGTCTTATAAAGAGAAAGGAGTAATTTACTTTTAATTAAGAAAAAAAACAAATTTTTGATATTATAAGCTTTTCTTTCTTTCTTATTCTTGTAAGATAAAGCTGCATAAGAAAGCAAAGCAAAAAAACTTCTCTTTCTTCCTTGACTTATATGCGGCATATATACAAGACACATGTATCACCTATTTTCATAGACATACATAGGTATTCTAGTAAATAGTTATATAATTAGGTAGAAATAAGTAAAAATAGATAAAAGTAGATTAATTTCATAAGACCTTTTGGAAAAGCTTCTTAGAAGCATCCTAGACCTTGCTTTATTTTACATATATTTTTAGTTGATTGATAGGTTAGAAACTTGGTCAACAAGTTAATCATGTGTTGATAGCTTGCAAAACAAGCTAATTATGTTGCATATAAATAAAAAACTTGCCTTGCAAGTTAAAATACGTGTCTTGCAAAGTCAACACGTTTTGGAGGTCCTATAGAATATTGCCACATAGTTCCTAGTTAAGAGTATATATAGAGACAAGACTAAAGCCTTCTTGTCTTGTCAATCCCTTTCTAATCCTTAGTCTTGTTTCAAGACTTTCTACTCTTCTTGTTTTTGGCAGTAGCCATTCTATTTTAATATTATATCAACTTTGAGTGACTTTCTAGTTTCTTTCAGTGATACAAGAGTATATTGAGGATTTTCTTTCTTCAAGATTCATGTCCTTGATACCTATAGTATCACATATATATGCACTACATGTCCAACTTATACCACAAGTCATCAATATGTACGATACATAGCCAACTTGTTAGCTAAGTATTCAACCTACTAATCATCTATAAACACATATAAAGACAAAGCCACATCTATAAAGCTTCTATACAAGATATTATCAAAATTATCTATTTTTACCTACTTCTACCTATTCATATTGTTTAGGTAGTTATTGAAATAAATATGGATATTTGTTACAAATCTATGTAATTTATATAATTTTTGAAGGAAATAGTAGTCTAAAAGATTGATTTGTTATATTGATAAGATTATTAAATATATATATATATATATATATATATATATATATGTATATATATATATATATATTTAATACTAGTAAGTATTTCTCGTTGTTTATAAATCCAATATAAACCAAATCTTGTTCTTATTTATATCTTAACATTTACATCCACAATCTACTAATCAAGAAAATTATAAGTAGATGAAGTTTCCAAAAAATGACCTTGGAATGAATACAATATGACTCAATATATACTCATTAAAAAACTATTAATGGCTTAATTTCGTATTTTTATTTTTATTTTTTCTACATTGGATATTTATTGTCACCATGTTACATATAAATATTAAGAAATAAATTTGAAATAATTATTTAATAATATATTTCATTCAAATTTGAAAAATCATAATTAAAAACTTTAGTGAAGCACTTTTGATGTAAATACAACTTCCAAACAAATCTATGATATCCACAAATAAGTAGGTCTATATTAAGATAAAATTTAATTAGAAATTATTATAAAATATTTTATAATAAATGATTAATACTTATTTTAATTTTTTGTGAGTTTAAAAAATAATGGAATATAAGATTTCTGATATCAATGGATTATTCAATAATATCTGTTTTAGTTAAATTACATGGCAATTGTAGAAATTTGTAATTTTTAAAATTTTGGTGTCTAAAACTACATATTGATCAATGAATTGGTAGTAGAGTTGATGAATGCCTAAATTACTTTTTGTAATTCTTATGAATATGTACATTTGCATAATTTGTTTCCAGTCTTGTGGAGCATTTATATGTTGTTTGCATAGAGGATTTGATTGACAAGATCAAAACTCCATTTTTAGTTGGTGTATCCTATTTGATAAAAGTCTCTGGCATTTTTTTTCCAAACCATGATAGGTCTGAGAAGAATTCTAGATTAGCATGGATTATATGACCTGCACCACTAGTTTCTTAAATAATGTAAATGAGATGTATATATAAAGCCTATCTGTAAGAGTGTTGTATCCTCTATTACATGCAACAAAAATACTTTTAAAACTGAAAAAACGACCTGATTTATGATTATTGAATAGGGATGGTTCAAATTTGGTACAGGTGCCTATTTTTAGAATCTGAGAGTGAACAATTGTCGTATCACTACAATGAAAATTAATAGCTGTCACAATGATAATCAGTAACACACGAATACCAAAATGCGGAACTATACTCTTAGTATCGTGTTTCAAAAACAGTAAACAAATATAACTCACTAAGAACTTGGGTGTTAAGACTTTTTTCAATGTTTCAAAAATTAAAATGTTAGAATGTGTTTCAACAATCGTTTCAACACAAACGTCATACACTACAATGAAATTATAACACCTAAAAGAAAAGAAGATAAAAAATGAGCATATGCACACAAAAACTTTTGAAGTCAATGGAAAAGTGAGTTTGAAAAGAGACGGTTACAAAATGATAGTATTGTCATGCGTGAATGAATGAATGAGCTTTGCTTGTGTGCAAAAAGACAAGCACGTCGAAAGCGGGGAGTTGCAGAGCATGAAGGCAAATGAAGGAAAGAGAAGAGAAGAGGAAGAGGAATATGGGGACGTGGGATGGGGACGTGGATTTAGGGTTTGGAGCTCTCTCTGGGCAGGCTGCGGGTGTAAAGCAGGGCCATGGTGCCCCAGCCGGTTCTCTTTCGCAGCTAAGCGCACATCCCTCCCTTCCCCTCCCACTCTCGTCGTGCGTTCCGAAGCCAGCTGCCATGGTGTTCCGGAGATTTGTGGAAATCGGACGCGTTGCTCTTATCAACTATGGCCCCGAGCATGGAAAGCTCGTCGTGATCGTCGACGTTGTCGACCAGAACAGGGCGCTTATTGACGCGCCGGATATGGTCCGCACTCAGATCAATTTCAAGCGCCTGTCCCTCACCGATATTACTATCCCTGAGCTTCCGAGGACTCCCTCGAAGAAAGTGCTCAAGAAGGCTTATGACGACGCGGATGTGGAAGGGAAGTGGAGTAACAGCGCTTGGGGTAAGAAGCTCGCTGTGCGTATCAAGAGGGCGAGTTTGAACGACTTCGACCGCTTCAAGGTCATGGTGGCGCGCGTCAAGAGAAGCTCCATTGTGCGCCGGGAGCTCGGGAAGTTGAGAAGGGAAAAGGCTTAAGTTGAGTGAATACTTGATATGGTACCTTGAGCAGTGTTAGTTCCTTCTCTATCACTTGGATTGCTGTAACTCTCAGAACTGGAATTTCGTTATGCCAATGACTTTTTTAATGTAGTTCCGGTTGTACTCGTGAGCTCAGCATAGTAAAAGCTTATCTGTCACCTCTTCCAATTTAATATCCACATTCACAATTACTTGATTGATGTTTGGTTTGTTGAACCTTTTTCTGATTCTTAGTCTGATGTTTAGATCTAGACACTGCAAATAGTGATCCCCCTTGTGAGGGGTTTTCATGAGATTTTCCATTCTGTTGAATTTGAAGTAGTTCCATGGTGTGTTCATGCGTAGTCGGTGCGGAAGGTCCTTCGGACTTGCCAGCAGAGAAATGGGGCTAAGCTTGTCGATATTTTTAACTCCCTTAACTTGCTTTTTGATTAGGTCTGGTTCAAATCTGAAAATGTCGAATTTTCAAATAATTTATGTAGTAAATTTGTTGATCAGTTGAAACGATATTTTCATTTAATTGGATAGTCTTTTCCGTGGCTGGTTTTCATTTTAAGGAATCATTGCAGTGGTTTACGTTATCCCCACAGCTTGGTATATGGGGTAACACACTTGATATTGATACAGTGGTTGCCGATGAGTTTATAAACAATGCAGTCAAGTTTCAGAAACCAGAGGCATCACGCTTCGCGAATGAGAAATGACCGTTGGGTTTTTCCGGATCTTCCTTTAATCCTGGGTTCTGCTTTTGATAAGATGATTCTTTCATATGGTTGGTGATCAACTCACTTGTCGAGTTACTTTCGAGTTTTGTTCTTTTCAATACTTCCAGATAGTGAAAGTAATACTTTTATGTCAAGATGAAGTATTCCACCTTTATTTCTAATCTATCTTGTAAACTGTCTTTTGCGTTCTGTGGGATTTGTGTTAGCACTGCTAAAGATTAACATACTCGTTGTACGAGAGGCTTGTTACCATATGTGCTTCAGCATTTTCCAGCTGGGAATGTCTCATGGTCGTTAGTGCGATCCCGAGTTGTTTTTTATGTCATGAGCATTCTTGGTATTATTAGGTTAATTCAATTCTCAACGTGATTTTGAATATCATTTGGATACGCATTAATGTATTTCATCATGTTGTTTGCCAAGACATTCATATCAGAAAAAAGATAGCCGTGTTTGCAGTCGCTAGCGGTGGCGTCATTCTTCTTTGTGCAATCAGTAGCTGTGTGAGTGTGAAGCTAGAGAGTTTTGTTCAGATTCTCTTATGAAAATTTATTCATGGGAACAATTTCACCCATCTAGTGATACCTCTAAGCACGATGAATGCAATATTTCACTCAGAAGGTCGTACTTTCGTTTGATATTAGTCATCTTAAGGTTATCTTACGTATCCATTTTCGTTGAGGGATAAAATGCACCCCTAAGTGGTAACTTGTGTGGGTAGTGGTTTTATGTATTGGCCCCTACATAATTTTCCATGGGAACAAGTAAAGTTTTCTGGAGGCGATCAGTCTGACAACGAAAGTGGACTCTAATGTTCCTCACTATACTTACAGGGATGACATTGTTTTGTGGTATTCAGGTGGTATTTTGCAGGTTTTATCTGAGTGTGGTTAGTATCCCAGAGTAGTTTTTGTCGATCGTAGTGATAATCATAGGTGGTTTCTATGGATTTGTGCAGGCTAAAGCCTGTGTACTTGGCAGATGGATGTTGTCTGCGAATTTTAATGAAGTGCTATGCCCATGATTGAGGTTTTTATTTATCTATTTATTTATTTTTCTAGGTGACATAATGGGTGCATGCTTTGTGTATTGTGTGATGCTAACAAGAATAGTCTGGGGTGAAAAAGTACATTGGTAATGTTTAAGTGTTTCTGTGGGTGAGGTGGAAGCTGTGAACCAAGGGTAAGAGTGCCCATTAAAATGTAACACCTGATGGCAAGAGAGCTAATGAAGACTAGATAATGCAGAGTCTGGTGAACAACAGAGGGCAGGGTTAGAAGGAGTGCTATATAGTGAGAACAGTAGCAAATTTGATGAATATGGATGTGACAAAATAGGTCTTCAATTGACAAATTTGTGGATGAGTGGTGTCCATTTGAGTATAAAACAATTTCTATGGTGGTGAATATATGGTGGTAAATATATGGAAGGAGTTAGAATTGCCTTTAAGTCCCCCCCTTCTTCCTGGCAAACTCAAGGATAGCTACAGGGACAAGGGTTTTGTGACTATTGTGATGATAAGCACAACAATAATTGTAATCATAGCAACATCAACAAGCACAATGGATCATAAACAAGCACACTAATTACATGTAATCTTAGGAGGGAGGAATGAATTATCAGGTCTGACTTGCAACATGCCAAAGCAAACAAGGAATATTGTGACACTTACAATGTCTCTATTTGGCACTGCCACATTGTTGGAGTAGCTACACTATATTACATTGCATTTCAAATTTTGAAGGGTTCTTGGTATATTTGGGTAAACCAAACATGGCTAGCCACAAAAGTTATGGAATGCCTGCATCATAGTAGATAGTACACCTTGGACAACTAGTCTTTGGCTGGGCAGATTTAGGTGCCCAATTAAGAATTTGTTGCTGCCACACATCCATCTTAATAAATGAAGTAAAAATCCACAGGTGCAAGGTAACTACTTGTTTTGTCAAAGAACAATGAATGGCTATCCATACAAAGGAAGAGCCATGAATAGACGGAAGAGAAAACAAGACAGTGACTGTAAGAAGTAGCGTGAAAAGGGAACCAAGGGAAAAGGAAAAGGGGAGTTGAGATAGACATTCACAAGACCTCCATGGGTGGGCCGGCTGTAGGACCCAGCCTGAACAAGTACAAGATCATTTTTCATCTCATCTTTGCACCACACGCAACTCTTATCATGACCTCTTTCTCTCCAACATCCATTCCCCCTCTCTCCTCCTCCTGTCAAGTTTTTAATTTAGTCTTGCAAAAGCAAAGAAGGAAGCCAAGAGCATAGGACTTACATCCTTCTTGTCCATGTGTTTATCTGCCCTGCCCTTCAACATCCATTCACAGGCACTGCCCATCAAAATCCTGAAGGGTCAGTTTTCAAATTAGAAAAATGGAAGATTCAGTTTCCTTCATCTGCACAAATGGAAGTTTTTGTTGCTAGAAACTATATGTTCTCTTCCCTCTCTCTCATATGGGTTAACTGATCAGGTGTGATAGAAAATGATGTTACTTTGGTTGTTGAGTGTAATCTTTGGACACATTTACCAATATCAAGTTTTTATTTTCTAAATAGGGTGAAAGTTGCACATGTGTGGAAGGGCTCAATAACTTGTCCAGGAATTTCAGGTAAGAATTTCACTTGGCTTCAAAATAAATCCATGCCCACCAAGGCTCAGAGGTTTCTAGTTTTCTGAAAGGGGTTTACTGTTTTCTAAGTTTAGCTTGGTGCTAATCAGGCCTAAATTAAAAGAAAGATGCCAACCTGCTTCTCACTCAGGTCTAGTCATAGCTGATTCTGTTCCACTAGCTTTGAGATGCAAAATGCACTACCACTGGCTTCTGTTGTTAATCTATTCTTTTGTGCTGCTGTGACCCAGCTATGAAAAAGAGCCTGCCATAGTAACAAACAAGCAAAGCAGAGGAAGCAGAAAAGCCAAGGGAAGAGAAGGGAAGGGAAGAGGGGGGCATGAGAAGGAGGAGAATAGAAGATGCACAACCCCCCCTCTTCCCTACAGAGACAACGTGGCACGAGGTGTAATAGGCACAGAATAGCCCGCAATCACAATCAGGCCAGCTAGAGGATAGCTCCCCTTCTCCTTTTTGCCATTCCATTCGCATTCCATTCCCCCTGAACAGAATCCTGCAGTGCACTGTAGTCCAACAACTTAAAAGCTCAATAAGGATGAGAGCCATGAGCAACGCCTGTGGATCACTATCACACCACAAGCCAAGCCCCACATTCCTCGACCCTGGCACATTCAAAATCTCTCCTTCGCTCCCGTACTTCCCGTGTCGTCTTCGCATGCTTTCACGTCTGTTCATTCTTGAAGGAACCCCTATCCCTCCTTCTTCCCCTTCCCTTCCCTTCCCCCTCCCCTCCTCTCCTCCATGTGCGAAACATCGGAACTCTATCGTTTGGGAATGCTGCATGGTCACGCGGGAGCTTCATCTTGAGCACGTCCGTGTGTGTGGACCTTGCTGAGCCGTCGCTTGAAGTCTTTCCAGCTGAGTGGAGCTTACTGCGAGCTTAATGGGTTCGGTCCATCCTCCGTCCTAGCCAGTATTTGCTAAAGGCCCTAAATTTGGGCCCCGATCTCGTCCGATCAGTGCTTTTGCGGGGTGTCCTTTGTTCGATTTGGGCATTGAGGTGGTCAGATTCAGTTCTGGGAACTGCCTTTGGGTCTTGTGGCATGGTTAGATGCGTGATTTGGTTGTGTGGAAGGGCTTAAGGTGCGGATTTCCGAGGTCGATGATTCGGGCTGAGGGTGTGTTTGATTTCATTATGCAGGATAAGAGCGTGTGGAGGACGTAACTAGAGCAACGTGGTAAATTTGAGGTACTGCTGCTGCACCCCTGGCCTTCCGCGTAGTTTCAAGATGCAAGTTTGATCGGAATTTATGCGAATCTTCGTCTCCATTTCACTTCTAGGTCAGAAGGAGTTGGGTGTTACCTTGACAGTGATTGAATGTGATCCCTTCGATAGAATTTGAGGCGGGCAGAAGACCCACAGTAGTTGAGGAGCGATGGTGCAGAAGGATTTAAATGGAATGGAGCAAGGCAATGGTAGCGGTAGTCGTGATTTAGAGAAACCACTATTGGCGAAGAAGGAAAAGGAAGGATCCGAGGAACCTAGGACTTCGCACCACCGGAGACACACTCTGAGATCGAGGAGGGATGCCGTGCTGCCAAATTCAGGATATGCTATTTTCTCTACCCTTATGGTAGCCCTTGGCCCATTGGCTCTGGGATTTGCTGTGAGTTTGCTCACTCACGACTTTAGCACTGTACCGAATCAGTTTCTTCGAGGCTCGGGTTTGTGCCAGCGATCATGTTTAGTAGGTGTAGTCTGATAGGTTTAGAAGTCATCAGGAAAGTCATGCTTCATTCTGTTTTCTTCTTCTGTTTCTTTCTTAATTAGTTAATTTTACGTACGGCTCTACTTATATTAGACACATTCTTTCCATTTCACAGATTGGCTACACGTCTCCAACTCAAGTTGCAATAATCAAGGATCTGAATTTTACGATTGCACAGGTAATGTTCCAGCACAGTGGTTTCAATCTTTATGATATTAGTCGAGAGGAATTTAAGAGTGCATTCTTTTACTTGAGGTGCCAGCCTCTGTGTCTTCTATTTTCTGCTCAATAGATGCACCTGTTCTTCTCTATGCCCTATGCATAATTGCAAATTCCTCTTGTTCTGCAGTTCTCGACATTTGGATCTATCCTGAATGTAGGTTGTATGATTGGCGCAATTTTAAGTGGTCGCATAGCTGACTACTTTGGGAGGAAACGAGTGAGTTTCTTTCTGCTGTAAGACGTTTAGGAGATTATAACCATAATACTTCGATCTCTTTCATCTCTCTTGGTGCACTGTGTGGTCTCGAGTTTTATTCGTTGGTTTAACTAGGATTTCAGAGCGTTGTTCCTTGAGATGCTCTAGATTCGTGGAACATGCTTCTCCCAGTTGGTACTTTGTTTGATTGGCAATAATGATGGTGTGCACGAGAAAGTCATATTGTCTAGGTTTTAATTTTTGATTCTTACGTTGTTTTCCCTGCTGATTAATAGGCACTATTGCTAGCTGCTCTCCCTTTGCTAGCCGGATGGAGCCTTATTGTATTAGGCAAGGTAATCGGTCATGTTTCATCCACATTATTCGTTGATCCTTTTTGATGTTCTTTATAGATACATTTTGGAATTTTAAGATGAAACTTGTTGAGCAGGAGCTTGAAATATAATGTTAGCATAGCTTGTGATAAACGATTAACAATTTTCAATTTCCACTTAGTTTGATTATGCAAGAACCTTACACTCTTCATCTTTTAGTCCAAGAACTGCACCTGTATTGATATTTGAAAGAGGTGGCGGACAATATTTAATGACGAAAGTCTACATCTATTTGGTATCGGATTTTAAGTCGCTAAGAATTTTGCTCTGAAATTCGGTAGATGATACCCATTTCACTATGACACCACGTAGTATTCTGATGTTGGTGTAGGAAATACGGCACTATATAATTCTGAAGTGAGAGCTGTTTGGTCACCTGCTTGCAGACTGCCACTCCCTTGATCATTGGGAGGATTCTTAATGGGTTTGGAGGAGGCATCATCTCTTTCTCTGTAATTTTTTAACCTTTGTGCCTTTGTTATTCACCTTTTTCATCTGTAGTAACACGTCTAGAACTTCGGTTTTATAACCTGATTGCCATAAATCTTAAAATCTTTGAAGATAGATGCACTATACTCATAGCTCTCTGGATCTGATGTGAAACTCTCGCATCTTTATATTTGCTTCATTTTCATTTATTTATTCATTCATCGTGGTTACTTTATTTGCTAGGTTCCTATGTATATAGGAGAGATTGCACCGAAACATTTGAGGGGCACTCTTGGAACCATGAATCAGGTGCTAATTTTTCGCCCTTCTCAATTTCATTAACTCGCCAATTGATAATAAGCGCTTGAGTCAGATGTTACTAGTAGCAATATCATTAAGGTGCACAGTTCTGTTGCTTATTGGGTTGGTGATCCTTCCCACTTGCTTTGTCACAGTAATCATATCGTATTACTTGGAGCACATTGATAACATTGAGGCTGAATGCAGTCTTACTTCGTCTCTTCCTTTTCCTTCTTATCTTTTTGACCAGCTTGCTATCACTATCGGAATTACTCTTTCATACGTCTTCGGCATGCTCTTCAATTGGCGTGTTCTTGGTTTACTTGGTACGTCTCAGAATTAGGTTACCTTCTCTTAGGTTCTTTCCATTCCAGCGAGCCGGTTGTGTGTGGAGTAATACTGGTAAGAAAGACTTGATTCTTCTGTGTTTGGATCAGTACAGCAAGTGTGACATTGTCAGCGTCCTTGGTTGAGAAATTGTCTGAATTTTAGATACTATTGATTTGAGTGGTGTGTAAACAATGTCACTCGTGAACTACGGTTACATAGAAAATCTAGCTAATCTTGGATTGAAGTTAATCGTTTTCGAAGGGGTCACAAATCTTCAATATCTTGCTAATGGGACCAAGTGTTGGGTTGGGTGCCTCGGCAGGTTGCATACCAGAGGTCTCGTTGATTGTTGGACTTTTATTTATTCCCGAGAGCCCTCGCTGGCTGGTATGTACCCATTTATGTTTTATTGTTTTTCGGATCCTGTCTGCGTACCTTCAAAGTTCAGACTATTACAATACTTACATTATTGAGATTCGAGTCCTGACATGTGAGGACTCTAAAGTCGAAAAATTTCTATGTGTTCAGGCTAAGGCGGGTAAGAAAGAGGAGCTATCATTATGTCTGCAAAAGCTGCGGGGTAAAGACTTCAACACCACCCAAGAAATCGCGGACATTCAAGTACGTTTCTCAAATAGACGCTATCCTCTCTTTCTCATCGTGTAAAATTTACTAAACCAAGTATTGAGTATTTCTTTAATGTTTGTCCAGGCCGCAATGGAAGCCTTGAATGCTCTGCCCAGCGTTAAATTGAGCGATCTGAAGGAGCGGAAACTATCCCGTCCACTTGTTGTGAGTTCTCTGACTCGATCACATCTCAAATCATTTATTATCTATTACGTTTTCTTACTTCATTGTTAATTTGCTGTTTCAGTGCTTTTAGTTGGTTTTGAGGTATGTTCTCCTTGGGTAAAGGCTGGAATAGGATTGATGGTTCTTCAACAATTCTCTGGTATCAACGCTTTTATGTTATACTCCAGCGGAATCTTTGCTACTGCTGGTAAGTAGTCATTTCAAAATGTTCAAAGTGCAGTTTTGGGGGATTTATTAGATGACAATGACACTAATACACAGAACTAGAGCAGATCGTATAAACGCGCAAAAAGAGTTATCTTCAGGATTAGTTCTACCTTCATCTGCGAATTTTCTTAGTATAAATTAACAATGCTGCTCCTTTGTGTACCGAATGGACTCCTTCAATCAGCGTGTCTTATTATCACCTTTATTTGATGCAGGTGTATCAAATCCAGATATAGCCTCTGTCGCTTTGGGTACTCTACAGGTGCCAATGCTGTCTTCTTTTTGGCATTCTGTTTTGGCTACATGATTAAGAAAGTTTTGATAGAATTTTTTTGACAGGGGTGAAGACCAGGAGTATGATGTTACCTGTATAAGTGCGCTTTTGCAGGTGTTTATGACCCTTGCTGCAGCTGGACTGATGGACAAAGCTGGAAGACGTATTTTACTCATGGTAATCTTCGAAAACATTATTCATGTCTTTATACTTAAGTTTACCTCTCTAGGATTTGCAGGTCTAGCAGTAATTTTGCTTGCTTTGTGGTTGATAATTCTGGTTTTCATTGTGGCTGGCTGGCTGGTTCAACTGAGCATCGTTTTCTGTCGTGGCCATTGAGCAGTGTCAGCTAGAAAGGAACGTGCCGGTGAATATAACTAAAACTTTTGAAAGGAAGACAAATGTGTCTGTAACCGTTATTCCTTGACTTTTCTACTGATAAAAGTGTTGGCTTGTAGATTTCTGCTGGAGGCATGGCCCTCAGCTGCTTCCTTGTGGGATTTTCCTTCTACTTGCGGGTCAGTCTCTCTTACTCTCTGAATTTCAGCGCCTTAATGCCTTTGAGTGTTTCATGTTTGAATATAATCGTACTTTTCAATGTATTACATGATTGTTTTTGTGTTCTGATCTGAGTTATATTCACCTGATGCAGACTTTGCAACCAGAGAAGATGTCAGAAGCGTTGGACACCTTCATTTGTGAGCTGGCACTTGTTAGCCTTCTGGTAAGTGTTTTAGGTTCCATTCTGCTCTTTAACTTGTGACGATCTGTAAGCACATCTACTTTCCACCATTGCTCAACTTAGTATTTAGCTTAATCTTTTTAGTTCCGCTATGTGTTCCTCTATTCCTTGTCCTTCAACTTTCGAAACCATTCGTGTGAGTTTGTTTCTTTCGATTGTTTTGTTGATTGCGTCATTCTCGCAGGTTTATATCGCAACTTTTTCACTGGGAATTGGTGCAATTCCATGGATTATCATGTCCGAGGTTAGTGTCTTTTTTCCTCTAAAGTTCTTGATCCTCACTCATAGTAACCTAATTCTTCCATAAATGCAGAATAGGCTAAAATCTTCCATGTTGCTTGAAAATATTCTCCTTTCAGTTTCATCGTGTCGATAGTCTCTTTTTGTCTTACCATTTATCTTTGTAAAATGTACAGATCTTCCCTGCACACGTCAAGGGAATAGCTGGAAGTGTTGCTACTCTGGTTAATTGGTTTTGCGCTTATGCTATTACCATGATTTTCAATTACATGCTTCTTTGGAGCGCAATAGGTACACCCATGTTCGGAAGAAATTGTTTCTTTGTTTTATTAAATGTTTGCCTTGGTGATGATGTATTTTGTCTTTTTTTCATGCAACTCGTCAATTGCTGATGATGGTAGCACTCATTCATGGAGTCCTTTGTCTGTACAGGGTCTTTTTGGTTATTTGCTGCGGAATGTATTGGCACCGTAATATTTGTTGCGATGTTCGTACCCGAAACCCGTGGCCGCACTCTGGAACAGATTGAAGCTTCGTTCAAGTGAAAACCCAACGAAGTGAATTTGCTGTTGCCTTATAATCTAATCCTCAGCCACACCAGGAGTTGCGCCATCAGCGTTAAGACGAGGCAAGAGGAACTTGGAAGGAGATCCATAGTTCAGTTACTCCGAATCAGACGCCAGTACCCAGTTCAAGTATATCTATCGTCCACATGATTGCGTCTATTCTCCCATTCCGAGGAGAAAGGCTGTTACTCAGTCTAGTGTTAGCAAGCATTCTTTGCCTCTTGGTTTATTGATTTAACCCCTATTTTTTATGGTCCATCGTGTCCATAGTTTTTAGTTTCCAATCGCTCGTCTTCTTTCTTACCTTCAGATCTGTTGGGACAACTGTTTGGCAATTTGCACGCTCTGCACAGATAAAGTGGCAGATGGTTGTCACGGTATATTACCCAAATATGATTAATGTGCCAAGGCTAGCTTGGTAGGACTTGTAGGCGAGAAAATGATTCTTTCAGAGGAGTTTGAGTTGTTGACGAGTCTGAACTGGTAGTATGCATGAGATTTTTTTTGAATTAGAGTTAGTCTTATTACAGATATATCTCTTGGAGGTCCAACTCTAGTTTTGGACCCATGCAACTTCTGATTCGGATTTCTATCTTCTTTAAGCCAGTACGCACGCTCAGAATTGGCAACTTCTGCTCACAAAATACACTGTATCCCACCGTTGTCCTGGCATTGTTTAAGTCCTTTCTTTCATGAGGAAGGTCGGTTTCGGTTGTGGATCATGGACATCCGTCGGAAGTCATTTCTTACTTGAGATCGAACAACGATGGCTATGAGAGGCTGGACATATAGCCACCTCAAAACTCTAGCTCAGGTTGGAAGGGATTTTCTGTTGCCTTACAATCTAATCCTCAGCCACACAAGGAGTTCAAATTTTATTTTATGATGTTTATTCATATTTATTAAACATTTAGTGTTAGAAATTCGACATGTTTCTTGACTTGTTACTCTTAGGAAGTAATGTTATTCATATCATTCATAAAATCGCATGCTGAATACATTTTAATATACTTCATGGCATTTCAAGTTTCAAGATCATGGCATGGTATGTTAATGTTTCAGTAATTTTGTTCAGTTGCTTCTTTTAAATATTATTTTTACAAAGTGTCTTACTGAAGAAACTTGACTTAAACAGAAAATTAAGAACATATTACAATTAGAAAATGCCAAATCTGAATAGTTGTACAAACTCGGAAAAGGAAAATGCACAAGAAAAGCACAAGAAAAGCACACATGACAGTGGCAAACCAAACCTAAAAATATTCAAAAATGCTACTGCAAAAGCAATAAATCCATGTTCAAAAGAGCAAAACTCAAAATGGGTCAGGCATCGAGGAGTTCATCCATACAACAAGCAAACAAACAGCCCACAAAATAACACTGCACCGCGAGCGCAAGTGAAGCTCCCAGCGATGTCGAGGCACTCACACGACACACAATCCCGGTCGCCTTTGGAGCGGGGATGCGGCACCTCGATGTTGCTGTTATCATCGCCATTGCATCACCTGCACAACAATACCCTTTAGTCCACCACGCATGCCCGACTAGTGGTTGGAGACCACTGTTCCGATAAGGGCAACGACTGTTTCAGGCGCATTCATCTCAACTTGGAAGTAATCAGGCCGCACTACACTAACCGATTGATCGATCTTTGTAGAATGGATAGTCACTATGCTTCATTTGTCCTCAATGCGTGTGGTTAAAATGATTGACTGTCCGGGTGATGTGAAGTAGAGGCGCATCTTGCGTCGAGAACAGCATAGTCTGTACATTTCCTACCAACTGGTAAAGACTCAACCTGCTTATCGAGGATCTTTAGCTTACTTGTCACTCTCAGGGAACTCCTCTGTCAGCAACGACGACGGATGCCGTCGATCAGGGAAATCGGCGAGAGGTAGCCGTGGACCATGAGACACGCTCATGTCAACCGATTCGCTCGACAGTCTCCTCGGCGATGTATATAGGGCGATCCGACTTCAATTTGAAATGGAGCCCTGACATTTCTGTGGATTGCGCATGTCAACTTAGCTTTATGCCAGTTTGTTCTTTGGCGTAAAATTCTTTGATGTAGCTGAACAATCTGTCGCATTGATAACGTTCATGGCTACCCTAGGAGGGATTGTGTTTGTGGCGGCTCTTATCGTGGTTGCCATGGAGCCTGTGCTCACGGCGAGTGCCACGATTGGGATCGCTATTGGAGTAGTTGGGAATGACTTGCCGTCCTAAACCGCGATCGTTCAACTGTTGAGATCCCGCGCAGTGACGAATGTGAGAATTTACAATGCCGATCGAGAAATGCTGACCGCTTTCAAAAACTCCAGCATCATAGTCACTGTGGCAGTTCCGAACTATTCTGTGGGGACCTTCGCCAGCAGCCCGGAAGCGGCCTTGAACTGGATCAACACCAATGTCAAGCCATTCGCTAGCAGTAGGAAACGAGTGGCTGCATCAGGGCCGAGACGTGTCCATACTTCTGTCTGCGATGCAGAATACTCATGCGTCGCTAGTGGCGCTCAGCCTCAACATCAAAGTGACAACACCCCACGCCTCCGACGCCACAGGCTTTCCCCCATCGGAGGGAAAGTTCCCGAAACCAGACGCCATGAAACGTATCCTCCAATTTCTCAAGGAAAAGAATTCTGCTTTCATGTTGAACGTCTACCCATTCTTCGCTTACACACTTAATGCTGCCATAGATAGGAACTACGCGGTCTTCAATCCAAACAACAAACCTGTGATAGATATGGGAAGGACATACACGAACTTGTTCGACGCCCTGGTGGACACTCACAGGAGCGCTATGGCCACTCTTGGCTACCCCGATTTTCCTCTGGTCATTGGGGAGTCCGGATGGCCAAGTGCCGGAAGCAACGCTCGTGGAGTCAACATCCAGGATGCGCAGACATACAACAACAACTTGGTGAAGCATGTGCTGAGCAACAAAGGCACTCCGATGCGTCCCAACGTCAGAATGCCGACGTATATCTTCGCGCTCTTCAACGAGAACTTGAAAGGTGGTGGGATCGAGAACAACTGGGGTTTGTACCACCCCAACATGACTCCAGTCTACAGTATCAATCTATCCGTTTAGGACCTCTATCGATGATTCTTAGAGATTCTGCAACATTCGGCAGACATTGGTTGTTTAGTTGGGGCCATGTGCAGCCAATGACAATGAATTCTCGGAGTCAGTCCTAGACCGCAACCGAGAACTGTCATTTGCGATCGGATGCGGTTCGGATTAGGAAGTCGAGGCAGTGCTGTAGAACTTTTCAAAGAGCTGAAAAGTGGTTTGATAATGAACAAAATGTTCGATGGTAACTTCAACGGTGTGAATAAAGTTGGTTGTGTACCCAGGCCTGCTGCTCTTTGTCTAAGAATCTGCTGAATGATGGGGCATACTTGTGAGTGCGTGAATGTGATCGTGATCGGTTCCACTCTAGAGCGGCAGTACGTTTGCATCTACTGCTTCCTCATGGTGTATGCGAGCTTTGTTGTGCTTGTCACTTTGGGCCATGAGCGAGTGGGAGATGTGCATACCCAGAGGTAAGAGTTAGAGTGATCAGGTTTAGTTCCTATCGCAGGAATAGAATAGAGAGGAGGGATATATTTCTCGAGGGCTCTTGCAAAATTATTTCTCTATTCAAATCATTAGAAACCAACATTTGTAAAAATCTTGTATCATTTTTATTAATGCTTATAGTATCATTTTTATTAATCTATATTGTTTTGCTTTATTTATGGTTCTACAAAGTAGATAGCAGTCATTTTATAAAAAAAAACAACATATATACAATTTTTATACTTCCTTCTATCTTTCATCTATGATTTCTAAATGATTTTTTTTCTTAGTTTTTATTTAAGTTCTTCTATAATATAGGTCTTCTTTTGTTCTTTCACTTACTAGTTTTATTATAACATGATACTTGTGACAATTTCTTCAAATTTTAGAAAGTAGTTTTTAATATCTAAGATACCAAGAATCTTTAGTGAATTGTGTTGGACTCTAAGATTGGTGCTCCTTTGTAATGCTAATTTTTTGAATTTTTTTTTTACTTGATTTAAAAATTTGGTTGAAGATCTTGATATTGCTTCACAATTAATTTATATATATATATATATATATATATATTGAGTTCAACAATTTCTGTGATTTCCATGATAAATTTGTGTATAATATTTTTGAAAGACATTAAAGTACTAGTTGAGGTACTTGTGTTGACTTTGTTGGTTGGGCTAGATCTTTGAATTTTAAGCAATAAGTGTGTGCTAGTGGTTGGAGGTATTTCAACTCTAGTTTTGATCAAGGATGGCTTTCTGCTAGCATTGGTATTTGAGCTTAGATCATTAGAAGGATTTAAATATGGCTCTTTTGCAAAACCAAATAACTAAAATTAAATACTTGATATTTCTAGTATCATTCAAAATATTAAATCCAAAATATCACTATTCAAATTATATTACCATCTTTAAATTTGTGAAGTATCACTTGATATTTTGGTACCATATCAAGTAATATCAAGTCAACTTGACATGTTAACTTAACATTCTATATCTATTCTTTTCATTATTTTGTACTATTTATTATGCCTCTAAAGAAGTTCTCAAGCCTTGTAGATAGTGGAAAAAGCAATTGTTTTAGATAAATGAGTATGTAATGATTGTCAACTAGTTGGAAGATTCAACAAATTTCTAAAAGCTGCATAGTTCTAGCAAGATAGAAATATATGAGAAGCATACGACGAAGACTAGAGCTTTGGTATAGTTGGTTGTCGAATGAAACAAAGCGTCAAAGGACAAGCTCAATCTTTCCGCAATAAAGATATTAGGTTAATTACATACTTTCAAAGAAAAATTTGTAGTTGTGTATGACTAATCAATGGGTATTAGCATTGATATTGATGATAAAGATTAAAACAAAAGTATATATACAATGGCGGCAAAGTTAGATGATATTTATTTATTCTTTAGAAAGATACATGCTATGTATAGTATAAGACTAAATATGACTCTATTCTACTAGAAAGACTCCACCATGGTAACAAATACAATGTTGTTGTAAGATTCCATAGTAACAATAATGACCAATTTTCCAAATCCATTGTCTAATTTAAATTTATTATTTCAAGAATTGTTACATGAGGATACTTAAGAAGTTTTATTATAAGACAAATTTGTTGAACCAATAGAGGTATATAAAGAAAAACATAATTTCTTGCTCTTTTTTATTTTTTTCTGGTTCTCATTTATTTTACTAGCATCATCTTCCATAAGATCATTTCTTGGCAAGACTACTATCATCACTCCAAAAAAGAGGAGTCACCTATTTGTACCAAAATCCAAAAGAGAACCTTCAAAGAAGCACTACACAATGGCCAATATGTTTGTAGAGTCATCATGACAGAAAATTATTATAATAATAGAGGATTTGATTCTACCAAAGTAAAAAAAATAAGTGAGCCAAGACTTATTTATAAAAAGAACTAGAAATAAAAAAAAAAAAACTAGAGATGAATAAAATGACATTTGAAAGAAAAAAATTAGTTCTAAAATAGGAAAAAAGGGAGGTGATTTAAAAATATAATAGAGAAGATAAGCTCTTTAATTTGATTTAGTCTTAATTAAATCAAAAGAAGACTATATAAGAAATAAAACAAATTATAATTCTTATAAAAAAAAATATATAAATGAATAAATTAGATTATAACTTGAATTATATTATTATTTCATGTCTCAAATTTCATAGTTTGCATTGCAAGGTTGCACCATTATTAATCTTAAAATGTGATCCATTGATATAAATTTCATTGTACATAGTTCATATTAGGAGAAGTGAGAAAGCCTTAGGTATAAGGTTATAGAGGCCTTAAGTACGAGATTATGAAAGCCTTAGATGCAAGTTTTTATGGTGGTTTTGGATACAAGGTTATAGAAGCCTCAAATTTTGGAGAATAGAATTTCGTAAGCTGATACATAAGAAAGCAGAACTCAACACATTATGTTATGTACCTCGGAATAATACATTGTATTTTATACAAAATTTCTAATCTTATAAATTTTTCTTGTTTTATTACATTATATTTCTTACAAAATAGCTAATTTCATAAAATTATAGTACTTAAAGTCTTTTTCATATAAAATCTAAAACTTAGCAATATAAATTAAAATAAAATAAAATAACATAAATTCCATGGCCAAGTCTAAATTAACTTCTTTGACTCAAGAAATAAAAAGTTGAAATTTTGCTTTATTGTAGATAGATACTTGGAGAATGTAATCTAACCAAGTGAAATATATTCCTAAAGTTCAACTTTTTTGAACTATGAAAAATTTCACCAATCCTTAATGCAATGAAGTTCTTGACACAAACTACAAACTTTGTTCTAAAGAATTGATGCTATTCTTTAAATTCATTTAATACATAACCTCCTCAATTGATAGCAAATTAATTTGTTCAAATAAAGAATTCACTTTGATCAAAGATAGAAAAATACGTCCTCATGATGGAGCTACTTCAACTAAAAGCTAGAAATTACTTTCACACTTTGTTATAGTATTTTTAGTTTTATGACGTTGCATGGAATCCATGAGATGACAGATGTTATTTGTTTAATGACATTGCATCAAATATACAAGATAGGAAGATGTGCTCAAAGGCAAAGCATTGTAAATCTGAGAAAGAATGATGGATAGAAGGTATAAGATGAGTATATGTCAAAAGATATGTATAAATTCTCTAATTTCTATCACAATTAAATTATAAAAATAAATTTAAGAATAATATCTCATCAATGATAGCTCCTCAATAATTCTTTTGAGGTACTCTAAAACTTAAATGTTTATTAATTGCTGCAATATTTGATTGTAATATGATGATGTGTTGAATTAAAGGAGGAGGAAGATATTGATATAATCTCTCAAATACCTTATGTATTCTAAATTCCACTACATTATATTCCATAATTTTATCCCACTACTAATACTTCTTTCATATGAAAACCACCAATAATAAATCACTTCTTTCAATGATCTTATTTCTTCTCTTTTTACACATTTATTGTGTAAATAAAGATTGTTACATACAACACATTGAGTGCTATAAACCAATCACAAAGTATGTAATTTAAATCAAATACAAATACACAATCACTTAAATTTCAAAGAAAGATTAAAAATCTATATCAAATTAAGTTAAATTATCTTTTACATTACAAATGAAGAATCCAAGAGTATAAGTGTGAAAATAAAAAAAATCCTAAGCTTTACTAAAATAGTTAAATTACCATAGCTAAAGAAAACCTCATAACAAGTTTTTTCTCTCTCAAAAATCACTCATAAGAATTGATTTGATAAGAATATTAAATTAAGGATTTCTTTTCACCTAAGTATTTAAATCTTAGTTTAAATTAATAAAATTAATTAACAAAAAAATCTCAATGAATAAAAAACCACTAATCAAACTAATTTACATACATTTGATAGGATTTGGTACTTGATGCTATATTACATAATAGCTATCATATAAATAAAGATCATTATACATAATACATTGATTGCTATAAATCAATTACAAATTATATAATCTAAATCAATTACAAATTATGTAATCTAAATCAAATACAAATATACAACTAAAATACTCTCAAGTATCCTCTTTAGCTAATTAGGAGTCTTTCTAGTAAGTTAGGACCAAAAAATGTATATTATTGAAGATAGACATTACAATGATATTATTGCCAAACTATATTCATTTAAAACAATGTTGTAGTAACTAGACTATGACAGTGTATAACAAATATAGTAATAAAATCTTCAATTTTTTTCAATAGATGAAATATGATTAGAAGACTTCTTACAATAATGAAAAATTCAATTTTTTGAAAATAGAGTTAAAAGAGATGATTTAAACATGCCATATGCCATCTATATTAGTATTGATTATACAAAAGTATAATAATAATTTATTTCTTTTTACCTTATATAAAACAAAAAAGATTAATTGGCACAACTATCAATTTAGGATATATAAAATCATCAACAAGTAGATGATAAAGAGCACGATTCTTTGAATGCTTCCAACATTCTTGTCTATCTTTGCCTTCTAATAACAAAATATTACTAGACAATATAAGATTTATACAAAGAATTGTACGCCATACTTTAACATTAAGTATTATAAGTATCTCGTATTACAGATATACATATTCTTTCTTGAAAAATCTCTGCAATTGAGGTTGAAAAGCTCCACTATAAATACAAATATATCATAAGATATCATGATATTAAATAATATATAAGTTTTTTATAGCCATAGGCATGGCCTTCTTAAAAAAATCTCTTTGATCATATAAA